AACTGATTCTGCAAAAGATGGTCGATGACAGATTGAGCTAATTTTGCAAAAATGGTCGAAGATGAGTTGAACTAATTCTGCAAAAATGGTCGAGAAATGGTTGAACTCATTCTACAAAAATGGTTAAGGACGGGTTGAATAATTTTGCAAAAATGGTCCAAGATGGGCTGAATGGGTTGAATGATTTTGCAAAAATGGTCGAGGACGGGTTGAATTAATTCTACTAAAATGGACAAAGATGGGTTGAACTGATTCTGCAAAAATGATCGAGGACAGGTTGAACTGATTCTGCAAAACTAGTTGAAGACGGGTTGAGCTGATTCTGCAAAAATGGTTGAAGACGGGTTGAACTAATTTTGCAAAAAATGGTCGAGGACATGTTGAGCTGATTCTGCTAAAATGGTTGAACTGATTCCACAAAAATGGTTGAGAGCGGGTTAAACTGATTCTGTAAAAATGGTCAATGATGGGTTGAATGATTTTGCAAAAATGGTCGATGACGAACTAAAATTATTCTGCAAAAATGGTCGAGGACTGGTTGAACTGATTTTGGGAAAATAATCGAAAATAGATTGAACTGATTCTGCAAAAATTATCAAGGACGGGTTCAACTGATTCTACAAAAATGGTCGATGATAGATAAACTGATCTAGTAATAAAGGATACAAACTAATTTTGCATATAGTTTCAAAATTGATTATGCAGAAATATTCGATGATGGGTTAAGTTTATGACACATATTAATTTTGTTGGAATTATGAGGGCCCTAAAACCTTAGGGGTATGGTTGGTATATTAAAACATTGTTTCTATGTTTTTTGGGTGGACTTTAGTTGTTTTTATGTTTTGTCTCTCCTTGACTTGTTTAAAAACTAAAGGAGTTCCATGAAATATTGTAAAAAAAATTTGTCTCTATATATAAAGCTCCCTAAAATCTAAAGTCCATTTTAGTTTTATCAAAAACTATTCTTTTACATTACCAATTGAAGAATAATATACTTTAAGTTCTTCCTCCCTTACTTCTTGAAATTTCACATATCTTGTCTTTCAAATTCGCAACTCAAAACAATATTAAGGCTTGTAAATATCTCTATTCTCTTTAACATTTTACTAAATTTTTAATTTTCATGTTTACCAAATTCCCAATCCATTCTTCTCATTTTTTTGTTCAAAAATTCTCAATTTATTCTATATTGACTTGGGGTGATGCTAGAGAGACAATCTACATTAGTCATATTTTGAGACCACATGATTATATAGTAGTTAATGGTTGGACTACTTTAAATCATTAAAGAAATAGTCCAACCATCATCCAACACATTATGTTGTCTTCAAAATATGGTCTAAAATCATGGTATCTCTAGCATTTTTCATTGACTTGATATTGGAATGTTAATCCCCCTTACTTTTTTTATTAATAACTCTCTATATTGACTTGATATTGAAAGGTTAACTTAAACATAGAAAAAAAACATTTAGAGTCTAAAACTTTTTAAGGGAAAATTACGTTCACATCCTTCTTTTTGTTACTTCATTGATTAAAATCCTATTCATTTTCAGTATTTTATCAAGGTCCTTTGGTATTAATAACATCATTAATTATTTGAATAATAAAATATTTTTATTTTTAAATCTATTCCTTTAGTGTTAAAAATGTTACAATTAGTATATTTATATTTATGGCTAAAGTTTTTATCATATATTTTTATTTTTAGTTTGTACCTATTTTTAATTTGCAAATATTTTTTAATTTATACCAATTTTCTTTTCATTTTTAATTGTACCCATATATTAGTTTCTTTTTGTGCCAATATTTTTTAAAGTTTTATTTGTGTTTGTACCCATGTATATACCGTCACGTGACATTGAATATTTAATCAATGATAGAAAAATTACATAAGGTATATTTGTGTTTTTTGCCTAAACTTTGTATCATATATTTATATTTTTAGTTTGTACCAACTTTTAATTTGCAACATTTTTTTTTTAAATTTGTAGTATTTTCTTTTTAGTTTTATTTTGTACTCATGTATTAATTTCTTTTAGGGCCTATATTTTAAAAAAATTCATTTGTACTCATAATTTTTTAATCTTTTATCTGTACCCTAATTTATTTATAATGTACCCCTTCTTCTTTATTAATGTACCACTTTGTTATATGTGACAAGTACCAATTTTTTTAACACTATGGATACATTCTTTTGCCATTTTTTATTTCTTATTTTTACATAGTTTTTCTCCATTTATTCAATCAAAATGTTTGAATTTTTTAATTGTAACCGTTTCTAATAGTATTGTAATGAAGGATTTAAATTTATAGGATTATAAATCTTATAAAATATCAAACAATTAATGTCAAAACTATAAAAATATAAATATTAATAGTAATATAATGAGGTGTACAAAGTCAAGGGACTTTGATCAAACTTTGAATACTATTAAGCTTTTAATCAAAGAATGTTAAGAATTAGGTACCACATCCAAAGTATCCCATTTTTTAATTAGCTCACAACTCTAACTACGTACAACTATGTATTATACTCTCTTGTTAACACTATTTTTTTTTAACATTTATGTGAGATCCCTCCTCAACTAAAATCCTGGCTCCGCAACTGATAGCATGCATGGCCATGTGCAATACTAGATCTTCCACACATAAATTACATAAGGTATATTTATGTTTTTTGCCTAAACTTTGTATCATATATTTATATTTTTAGTTTGTACCAACTTTTAATTTGCAACATTTTTTTTTTAAATTTGTAGTATTTTCTTTTTAGTTTTATTTTGTACTCATGTATTAATTTCTTTTAGCGCCTATATTTTTAAAAAATTCATTTGTACTCATAATTTTTTAATCTTTTATATGTACCCTTTCTTCTTTATTAATGAACCACTTTGTTATATGTGACAAGTACCAATTTTTTTAACACTATGGATACATTCTTTTGCCATTTATTATTTCTTATTTTTACATAGTTTTTATCCATTTATTCAATCAAAATGTTTGAATTTTTTAATTGTAACCATTTCTAATAGTATTGTAATGAGGGATTTTAAATTTATAGGATTATAAATCTTATAAAATATCAAACAATTAATGTCAAAACTTTAAAAATATAAATATTAATAGTAATATAATGAGGTGTACAAAGTCAAGGGACTTTGATCAAACTTTGAATACTATTAAGGTTTTAATCAAATAATGTTAAGAATTAGGGACCGCATCCAAAGTATCCCATTTTTTAATTAGCTCACAACTCCAACTACGTACAACTATGTATTATACTCTCTTGTAAACACTATCTTTTTTTCTTTTTCTTTTTTACATTTATGTGAGATCCCTCCTCAACTAAAATCCTGGCTTCGCAACTGATAGCATGCATGGCCATGTGGAATACTAGATCTTCCACACATATTCAATACTCATTTGGTTTATGCTTGATTTTGAGGGAGATGCATGCTTGGTTCTAGCAGCTTTAAATTTTGGGGAAGCAGCGGACTCTTCTTCTCTGGGGGCTATGTTATAAATGATGCTCGACACTTCCTCTGTCCTTTCTCACGGTTCAGACACGTTCGACGGGAAGCCATCAAAGTGGCACATAGATTGGCCAGGTGTGGTTTGGCTTTGGAACACCAAGTAACATGGTTTGAGGAACCTCTGGATGTATCATTGATCTTTTATTTGAGGATAGGAATTTTATGTAATGTTGGTGCGGGACGCTCTTGTTCTCTTTGTCCGGGTTGAAATCCCTGGCAAGATTTTTATCGATGCCCATTGTTGTGCACCCTATCCTCTTTTATGTATGTTTATTCGCTCTCATTCAATAATGAATGTCGTACTTCTTCTAAAAAAAACAATACTCATTTGGGGTACAGACACAGCGAGCAATAAGCTTTCATGTCACATCCCGACCCAAGGTCCATCACATCTCGGGCCCGCTCCACCGCCGTAGCACGGTATTATCTGATTTGGGCCCCGACCATGCCCTCACGGTTTTGTTTCTGGGAACTCACACGAGAACTTCTCAATGGGCCACCCATCATGGGAGTGACCTCGTGCGCTACTTGCTTAACTTCCAAGTTCCGATGAACTCCGAAGCCAGTGAGCTCCCAAAAGGCCTCGTGCAAGGTAGAGATGGAAATATACATATAATGGTCACTCCTCTGGGCGATGTGGGATCTTACATTTCAATTGCTTAAACATTGTATATACGAGGCTTTAACCCACTCATCATTGTATAAGATTTGAAAAATCAATGGACTAAAATCCAATCTAATTATATGATGAGAATAGAGAGACTACAAGTCCTTATCTCTATTTAAATCTCATCATCACATGGATTGCATGCCAAGATCTATTAAATGATATAAATCATCATAATGAAATACAGACGAAAAAAACAATACCATTTTGCACATAAATGGTCGCTTATATTGATTAGCAATAAAGTGAATTAAGTAGAAGAGTTCCATACATTCACACAAATTAGATTAATATAGAAGCAAAAAAAATCCTGACTTAAGTATTTGCTAAATAAGCAAATAAACTGATGGAATACAAAAAGTTTCAACAGTATATCACCAACTACAGTGAGAATTAGTCTAACAGAAAAAAAATGTTCATTTCAATAATAATCTTGCAAACGAAAAATTGCATTTGCATATATGGCATAGAATCAAAATAATGAAAACCAAATAAGTGTGCTAAGAATGTTACAAATGAAAAACTGCACATATATATGGCATACAACCTCAATTGACAATATGCAATTAATTGGAAATAGATTGATAATAAGCAAACTGTACTCAGAAAAGAAAATGAATAATAAGAAGCATAATTGACGAGCATGGTGAAGTCTAATGGTGAGTGCAAAACAACTCTACCATGTGGTGACTCTAGCTCAGATGAAAATAAATCAAAAGAAAATAAACTATATCAAGAGCATGCTGATAATGTAAAAGAAATAAAATATAGAACATAGAAGGAAGAGAAACAAGAGAGAGATAATATGAGTGTCTTGTTCCATTAATTAGAATCCCTACACATAGGAATATGGAAGAAATTCCTAATAATAGAAAAGTTACAATTATACATTAAATATAATTGTTGACTTGCCAACGTGTTTATTGTAAAGAAAGACGCTGTAACTATATATATTCCACTTTGTTACAGTACTTTTAGACTTATTATTGAATTGAAGACGAACATGGCTTCCAAGGAGAGGATGCCATGTTTTATTTCGTGATAACTTAGGCCTCTTTGTCGTTATCATATAATTTTGGTGTCTCATGGAGCCCCTTTGTTGGACAGAGAGTTAATTGGTGGTGTTGAACTAGCACAACATTTGCAGCAAGAGCCTTTTGGTACCGAGCCGGGGCAGCATACACAAGCAGGACATGTTGCATCTGAAACTATATCACAAAAAATATCATTATAATTCATACTACATATAAGCCACATTATAAAAGCTTATTGCTATACATACATACATACATATATAGCTGTAGTAATTGTGATGTGAAATAAGTACCTATAAAAGTGGATCGAGCTGCCTCAGAGGTTGAAATCGGAGACAGTACCATGGCAAACATGAAGAGGGTCACAAGAGCAGAAGTCGTAGAATTACTCGCCATATTTGCTTATGACACAATACAATATATAATAAAAATTGATGTTTGTTTTGATCGTAACAGATATTGTGAGGCTTATATTTATAGGTTTCAAAATTCAATAGTCCTAGACTCGTATAGTACATGCATGCATGGTTGATAATTGATGGAGGCTGCGCTAAGACTTTCTCCATTTTAGAGGGGTCGACCACCACATATCTCTCTAACAAGTGGGGTCATGAGTAAATGTTGGAGGGACCATATGTTTAGGCCATCCAGCGAACCAAGTTGCGTTACAAGTGAGAATTTCTTCCATCAGTTATTATGACAAGTGATTTTCAACACACTGCAAATTGTTTGCTTTAATTATCGCACAAGACTGCAAAATGTGCTACTAACGTGCGCCTTCTTACTTAGGCTGTAGGATTTTAGTCGTCCTTGTAGTTTCACTGAATATTTGGGTTCTCCCTAGATAGTATAAACGTTATATAGTTTAACGGGCGCTTTTGGGTTTTTATTTTTGTGTTGGTGGTAAAGATGAAAATGCATGGGAGAAATAAAGAACGAAGAAGAGTGGATGAAAGACAGTAAGAGAGATGTAGAAAAATATTTAAAAAAGCACACATAATGAAAATTAAAAACTAAAAACTAAAAACCAAAATAAAAATTTATTATAATTATTTTTACTTTCAAGATTTTGTTTGTTCCCCTCTCACATGATAAATTGTAGGCCAACGTAGTCCACCACCAATGTCACTAGTATTGTCCTCAATTAACCACACATCTCTAGGTGTGGGGTTTTATTGTAAAATGTACCGGTGATAATTAGCAGTGGACTTATACATTAATTGTCTATTATTTTTTCATAGAACTGATGTGTGATCTTATTCTTCAACACATCCCCTCACGAGTGGCCTCACAGGCAATAAGAAGGAAAACCATTTCCCTCATCGGGAATTGGTTAAGTCATTATACCGGGGCTAACGCAACTTTACGAGAGCCCGATCACCATTCAGGGGACTAGACCCGACACAACTTGTGTATTTTTAATTTCGGGATTTTACTTTGTTTTCAAAAATCCCAAGTTTAACTCTTTAAAGCCTGAGTTGACTTTTCTTTTGAAAAATTTATGTTGGTTTATTGGGGCAAATTCTTGTATTTTTCGAATAGATCTCAATTCCACAAGCGTTTAGGGGCAAAATTATTCATGAATCAAAGTTGAAACGAAGAAGTTATGAGCCTCGAATAATGACGGCCATTTTGGTCTTTTGAACCTTCTATGACTGGTAAGTTTCTTTTCTGGAAATTGCCAAAAATGGAAAACTTCTAAATCAGGAAATCCAACCCATACCCATCGATCCAAATTCGAGCCCGTGACCCGTTTTCTGAACAATTTCTCAACCCAAATTCCCGCCATATTCAACGGAATTGGACGACACCACCACCACCAAATTAAAGCTCTCACTTTCCTCTACAAAACTTACCCAAGAACCACACCTCGTGGTGCTACGAGGGGGCGAAGTTCTAGGATTCCTAATCATTCTGGCAGCCCTTTTTTATTTTCCAACAAATTTGCAAAGCGGCAACCAAAGAAATCATCTGGGTCATGTGGCCCACCATCCCCGGAATAAAATCTGACCAACCCAAACTATGCTGGACCACTATAGGCGGCAAACCGATGCCGTGAAATTTTGGGCACCTGCGACCTTTACTAGTGAAATTGACTTTCTTCCGTACATTTTAAATTTCGTGACTGGTATAATAGTTGTTTCTTGTGTTGAACTGCATGCCTATAAAATTTTGAGTGATTTGGAGTTAGTTGGAAATCACCGTGCGCAGCGATCGATGCGTGGGAAAAGTTGATGATCTAGATTTTGGACAGCGAGACATATGCATTGAGAAATTTTGAGTTGATAATCTCAAGTTATATGATTAGGCTTAGTATGCGTTTTAGTGATGGCTTACACATGTGAACACGGGTTAATCAAGGTGGCGGTCTCCTGCGATGGTACCTCAGAACCATGCCAAAGTTTTGGAATTCAGGTACGGAATTTTTGCGGAGATTGATTTTATTAAATTTTGTGAAGTACTATATTATTGTTTATCTTATTTATTGGCTAATTGTGATTGGATGTTAATTGGATATTGTAGATGCAAATTTCTTCCTCCTTATTTTTGGACAAAATTACACTTACAAAACAAATAACACCTTAAGTCAAGGCCAAGAGCCTCACACGCCCACGATGAATGGGGGGCTTTGACCGAAGAACCTCCGATGCCAAAGTTAGAATTTCGAGAGAAAAGTGTTTGGAGAATTTTGAGAATTTAGCAAGAGAATTGGAATTAAGTTTTTTAAAGAATGAGGGTGTTTATATAGGGATGTGGCCGGCCACCTCGGGTGGAGATGGACCGGCCACTTGGATGGTATTGTGGGTGAAGTTCATGATTTGTGTTTAATTAGCAAATTAATTAAATAATTAATCAATTAATTAGCTAATTAATATAATAAAAAAAGAATGATTTAGGGGTTACCTTGTGGAGAAGATATGATGAGGGATGGATGAAATAGGTTATAAATAAATACCTATTTTGGGCATTTTTGACTTGATTGAGGGATGATTTCCTACTGCTTGCGCGTAGAAGCTTCAGTGTGCCTCGAGGGTAATTTTGTCTTTTTTACCCTAGAATCCACGTGTCGCATGCATATTTTTCTCGATTATTTTTGGCTCCACATATATGTAAATCATTGCTTCATTGGAATGTTTATTTGTTGTTGATTATGGAATTGTTGTTGGAATATATAGTGATATATGTGAAAGATGAAATAAAATATTTGCGAACCACTCATGCCAGAGAATTGGTTCAAACTCTGGTGTTGAGAAACAAATTGTGGAAATTAGGGTATAGTGGATATGACTTTTTTATGTAGTTGAGTTTAACTCTTGAAAAGTTCCAAGTTTGAAGGACCAAAGTGCACATGGTCTTTATTGTGTAATTCGGGATTGGCGACAAAGAGTTCAGCAAGATGGCTAACAATAGCAGAATCATTGAATGGTTGAGTTATGGAGGTTAGTTAGTATTAGAGCATTTGGATCACCATTTAAGTGGTAAAATGCATGATAAATTAACAGGTTCGTTGGTTCGTGTATTATCATTTTAATCTCCATGATTGATAACATGTTATTATTGAATTACGTGTCCTAATAACACTTAATTTAGTTTAGTCAATTTATTGAGGTAAATTGACTGTGGTAAAGTTGATATCCTTACTGAGTTGTTAAAGCTCACCCCTTCATTATCTATGCAAGTTTACAAATTAGACAATCAAGATGAGGTAGGGATTCATATTTCATCCCCTATTTTATTTTTATGATCTTTTTGTTTATTTAATTTCATTCTCGTGCTTTGAATTTGGGTTTTCTACCTAGTCCCCCCATCCAGAGAATGACAATTCCATTGTTCTCGTTCTTTAAGAATAGTGCTTAATTTCTGTTTTGTTTCTTCTCATTTTTATTTCCCGTGATAAGCAAATAAGTTTGTAAAAGAGTACGAACCTTTATTTATCTACAATAAAATGTCAAAAACTTGATCATGATCTGTTATAACTATTATTCAAGAGGAAGCCCGTGTTCAACTTTCTATATACAAATGATGGTTATTTTTCCTTCACTGTGACATGAAGTCAGCTGTTTATATATATACAAATTTGCTGTATCACGGTGACACTTTCTGGGACTGAGTTTCAATCGGTGACAACAATCACAACAAGAGCCTTGTGGTGCAGGTGCGCAGCATTCACAAGCAGGACATAGGGGAGTTGTATCTGAAAAGCAAACAAAATATAGATTCTACATATAATACAAAAAACAAAGACCTGAATTAAGCCAGTTGGTCATCCAAGTTCGAATCTCCATCTCTGTAAATATAAACACTTGCAGCAACATGAAATAACACAAGTGATGTGAGTTACCTCGAAAAACGAATCGAGCTGCCTCTGAGGTTGAAATCGGAGAGAGTACGATGGCAACGATAAAGAGAGTCACCAAAGCAGACCTCATGGAGCCACCTGCCATTAATTCTATATTATTAGAAAATATAACAGAACTCGCTGTGAGTTGTATACATTTATAGGTTTCAATGGAACGCGTTGTTGAATTTGGGAGGGTTGATTCTTCTACTCCAGTTTATGGGTTGAAATAGAGAATACTTTGATGCAAGTTGAAACCGTCGTTGTAAGGTTGACATTCTAGAATTACAATACTACTAAACCCCACGAATTAATTAGTTTCAAGACATTATTCGTGGATTAGATAAAGATTTGTGGATGGTTCTATAAATTTTCTAAGCTATAACAAAAGTAAAATATATGAATACTGACGTGGTATATATAGTCAGTTGGGCTTGTTTGGTCGGCCGATGAGATTGGACTTAATATTTAGGATAGGTTAGGACTGGATGGGAGTGGATAGGATGGGATTCTTGTCCAATGTTTGGTGTAGACGAGTAACTTGGACTGGTTAGGAATTAATTTACTTATAACATAAGAAAAATGCCTAATCGGATGGATGGTCATTGTGGTCATAAGATTATCAGAAAGAAGATAGCTCTCGTTAAAAAAAATTAGGATTTAAACCTTCATGCTGTAGTCCCATTAGGCCTAAGAAAAATTACAACATCCGGCTTCTGTCTCTTCTCTCTCGAACTCTCCCGACTTCTGCCTCTTCTCTCTCTCCATCTCGATCTTGACTCTGCAACTACAAAATTGCAACATCCCGACGACGACCCACACCCACCCACCCGCTACTCACAACTCGCAACGACTATTGCGACCCACCCACGATGCCACACCGCTCGAAACCACCCCAAAACACCGCTCTGACAACCCCACGATGTCGGGGTTCCTCGCGACTAAATTTGGAGAAGAGATCCACGACGTGGCGCGGCTCACAACAAGATCTGCCTAGACAGACGAGGTCTGGTGAGAGAGAAGTCGAGAGCGAGAGAAAAAGATTACGGAACGAAATGATGACAAAGAGAGGTGAGGAAGAACACGACCTGCACCTCACTCAGATGGGAATTGTAACTCATGTGTGAGGTTGGTTACAGAACCCACTCCATTTTGGATTCGTAGCCCATCACGTCTAATCTCATCCCAGTTACATTTAAGACCATCAGACATTGGAATTGGACCCATAGCCATTTTAATTGAACTTGGATTCTCTTCCCTCCCAATTCGGTGCCCTCCTCGTGCCATCCTGTTTGTGTGGTCACGGTTAAGCCACGTCAATATTTTATATTACTATTTTTTTTTTCTTATTATTTTTATAAAAAACAATATAAAATGTTAGCATGGATTAACCGTGACCACACAAAACAGGAGGGCACCGAAATGGGAGGGCAGAGAATCCAAGTCCATTTTAATTGGCCTTAATCTCTCCCATCCAGTCCAAAAAAGCCTTAAGTTTCCGAGCCACACTGTTAACGCGTACGGGCATATGCATAAGTGTTGTTTAGCTAGAGGAGTGTTGCCTTGAGTAAGGTCATAAGTTCGAACCTTGTCAGCTTCCTAATCTAATATTTAATTTATCGTTTGGTAGAAAAAAAACATTTTCAACATATTATGACTCGTTCAAGTTGTGGAGAATTGTCCCAAATAAATAAATAAATTAACACTGTACTTAGATAAAGAAATTTAAGATTACTACATAATTTTCAAAATTACGGAATTTTATTGTTTAGAATTTGTGAATGTTTTTATTTGGTTAATCTAAAATAACATTGAAATTTGAATACGAAATTTTTTATTTTTAAACTCCTACTAGAAATTTAGAAATAACCAAGGTATAAAATATCGATGATATCAGAAATATCGGTAGTTCAAAAACAAGGAAATATCGATAGAAATATCAGGATATTATCGATATCGATAAAAATAATATGGAAACCACGGAAATTGTAAGAAAAACTTGGAAATTTTTATTGAAACTTTGCAGGATGTTTATTTAGTCAATTATCTATTAGTTTATCACAAAAAATTGGAAGGAAATGCATTGCATAATGGATTTAACTGATTTAAGTTGATTATATAGCGAGCTAGCAAACATTGTGAGTGTAGAAAATATGTAGTAATTAATGAAAGAAGTTTAAACACACCATAATCATTTATATATAATGAATTAGTACAATATTTTACACTTTATACATTACATGGTAAGATACATTAGTGATTTAGTACCACATAGAATTCCTATGAGGTTCAAAGTTATATATTGACGTAAAATACGATGTCAAGAAAGTTGCCTTACAAGTTAGATGGCTTTATCTTTATGTCTCATTCTACCAATCTTTCATAAAGCAATCTATCAGTTGGTATATTTCTAGTTTAGAAGGGTCACATCTTCGAATAAGGACTTAATGTAAAAGCCCTCCCTTTATTTTATAATTTTACTTTGTAGGTTTTTATTTTTTATTTATTTTTTAATTATTGTTTTTGGATCTTAATTAGTGAGCCCAAGGGGTCCACCCCCTTATTTTGTCCCCAATGCTCTCATCTCTCTTCTCTCTTAGTCCTCTCTTTCTCTCCACTTTCCCATGCTCTCCCTCTCTCTGCAACTCTCATTCCTTTTTCGGTTCTTCCCCGAACTCACACACACACACACCAGCACTCCCTCATCTCCCTCGTTCTTCTTCTCCCTCTGCTAGTGCAAACAAGGATGGTAGCACCATGGAAACCGGTGCAAAAGTTTGGAGAAAACCAAAACCCAGTTTCCGGTGTGGACCGTGGGTTCCAAGGCGAAACTCCGTCGAGCTCCGACCACGGCATGTCTTGAAAATGGTATAGATCTCTTCCTCTTCCCTTGGGCTTCAATTTGGTAGTTTATTTGACATGTGTTGGTCACTTTTTGGGGTTGACCAGAGCTTGTAAGCTTCGACGTCCTCTTTCCGTCGAAACCAGGCCTTGGGTGTCGACGAACTTTCCGAACACCTCTGACCGTTTCACGGCAAACGAAAGTTATAAAAACATTCATCTCGTCTTCTATTTCATTTTGATACCTAGATCGGAGTCTAGGGTGCTCTTTTACAGTCGGCTGGAGCTCTAGAAGCTCCGGCGTTCTTCTTCGATTTGCACAGATCCAAAATATCACGATATTATCGGTAATATCACGATATTATCGGTAATATCGTGATATTTTGACAAAAAATCATTGGATAACTATTAAAATATCGGTAACGCCAAAAACCGATAATATAAGCGAAATGCATTTAAGACCTTGGAAATAACATATATTTACATGGAATTTGAACTTGGGAATTGGAAGTCTCAATTCTAAATTCCATGGGAAATTCTAAACCTCTATGTCTATGAATCCAAACAAGGTAATTGTGTCAATTTATAAATTTTGGCTTTTGTCAAAACCGAGCGCAATGGCGTTCTAGGATTCATATAGCCGACCCCACTTAGTGGGAAAAGGTTTTGTTGTTGTTGCTGTTGTATTTCTCTCATCCAAACATATTGCAAGGAATAGACTTCATTTTATGCCTTTCAACTTGGATGCAATTGCAAACTTATACAACATTTTTAAAATATTTAAATTTCTTACACAAATTTGTATTTTAGTTACATTCATACGTAGGTTAGTGTGGCGTGGCAACTGTTGATCCCACTCTTTTATTGATGTGGCAGTCATTAATACGCAGCAGTAGGACAAAGTAGAAAATAAATATTTAAATAAAAATGGTAATTTAAAAAGGAAAAGACATTAAAATAATTATAATCTATAAATATGTGATGAGGAATGTCGAGTAATTTTTAAATCACAGGCTGATTGTTGAATCTAGTTCTTACAGCTGAATAGCCAAATTAATAATGTAATCGAAGATAGACATTTTGAAGATTCCTGCACTCACACAAATTAATTCCCGGCACGGACTGACTCTTGACACATAGTGGGAGAGTTACAACAGACCCCCTCTCCTACTATCATATCCCTATAACTAAACTTGTTATACAGGCCAGCGATAAAACTAGAAATCCACTACACGCTTATGAACTTGTCGCCTCTGTGATACCCGTGTACATGTTCATTCTCTTTAAACCTGATGCATAGTCTTACTGCTTCTAAGCTAATAACTAATTCCCTAACTGCCCCCATCTTTTTAATTTCGTGGTAGTTGATTATATTATAGATCTCTATCGAGCTAAAATAAGTTGTTTAATGAGAGTGCCAATTATATATAATTAGAAGAATTCAGTTAATTATAAGTCTTTAATGTCGATAATATAATTATTGTTATGTATTTATGTTATAAATCTTGCTTCTTATATATATCTCAATTTTGATTCGGTTTGCATTATTTGCTATTCTTAAAATTCTATAATAAAGATAATTAAAATTTTATTGTCGACATCTTTTACCGTTTGGTAGTTAATTATTCTTTTAATATAGTATTATGCTACTGTAATTTTTTGTATTTTTTTTAGTTTTGGTATCTTTTTATTTATTATGATTTTTGCGTTCAATTATTTTATGCTTGGTTTTTTTTCTTATGGTTGTGTTCGGTTATAAATATAATACAGACCCTATTTATAACTATTTTAGAGTCATACATAGAGTCATTAAAAGAGATCTTTGCTAAACACACAATTGTGGTTCATGGAGCCTTGTGATTTTGAGTGCTACTATTACAAGAACGTGGTCGTTGTATCTTGGGAGACATGTACCGATCAATCATGAGCACCGTAGTGGGGCGTAAACTTGTCTTAAGGACAAAGTATCTAACACTTGCCTCGACCGTATTTCCTAGGTTTTTCTAATCAAATATGTCATGTTCATTTAGCATTGGTTACTCATGTGCATGCATTAATTTTAATATATAATTGCATGAATTATTTCTTAAATTTTTATGTAATTTAATATAGCAATTAGACCCCAATTATTCCAACACAACTATTATAAACAAATCAAATTCGGACCACAAACAACAGCCCATGTTGAGGATGAGTCGAACACCTCTATCAACAGCCTAAGCATCTCATTTGTAACAATTTCTCCTGCTCGACAATGTTCCTCCTTTTTTTTTCTTTTCAAAAGAAAATGTTTGTGCTACTATATATTATGGATCAACTATCAATTTAGGCAACAAGTTACAAGTCCTGAACGGAGGGCAATAGAAGATGTTGCCCCACACTAATCATGCTGGAGTCTTATTGAGGAACCAAGATAATGGTTCCGATACACCATACATAAAAGATAATTTTACACACAGAACTTTGTGAAATAACAAGGAAATACAAGTCTCAATCTCCAAATTTGTCAGTTTTTCTGTAACTTTACTCAATAATTCGGATCTTGTTCTATATAATTTTGTTATTATAACATATGCAATGCTATAATATGTGATTGTTTGATATACCGTATACAATTTATTTCGAGTTTTGTTATAACAAACATCTGAAGTGTTGTTATTCTCCTCCTTCCGTCTGTGTTTGGGCCCAAAATAATAGTTTGGGCCGAGGGTAGGATCATTCTCGCCCCGAGAGGCCGTGCGGCAAAAGGGCCATGGATCGTTCAGCTCGTGGGCTTCCAAGCCTAGGTCAGTTTGATCAGAACGCAAGTCGAGTCCTAGTACAATAGGGAGTCTCGACGGGATCAGTAATTCAGAAAGCGAATCCGGCTCAGTTAAGGACTAGATTCATAGTCCTAGTGAAGGTAGGACTGGTCGATGTGATGTTGATCCGGAGAGGAAGACCTAGTCCGAGTAGGATTTTAACTCGGATTCAGGATC